GGGCTTTCACAAGCTGATGAGAGAAATCATCGTTCTGTCAATGACCTTCACTGTACCCACCAAAGTACAATTTTGCATTGGAAGCATTGACACGCGTCATCACAGCTTTAACGGCATTGAGGCGGTCCCTGTAGCCCTCATCGTCAACTATGTAACGGGGAATCAGTCCCACACTGTTTATGCGTTGGATGATAGTTTTCTATTCTTTATGTTGTTCTTCCCTGGGTTTATCGCGGTAATTCCACACGTACAGAGACTTCAGTTCACCCATACTTGAGCAATTCATTCGGACACTCACTGCAACGTTCTGCTTCGTCCACCCCTTACAGTTCACCTCGTTCGGGGACGACACCACAACCATTCCCCACGTATAAGAGGGATAACAAGCTTTAATATCCCAGTGGCCTCGGAAGGCTCTGCACGCCTCTTGCAAGAGCACATGCGCCAAAAAACCATTGGGTTCACTACGGAATTGTTTGGCTACTGTCAACAACTTCTTCACCTTGAGCTTTTGGTCGATCGGCACCTGTTCAAGTTTATCCTTGAATATAGTCAGTTCTTCATTGCGCTCCTTCCAGCGATGGTATGACTAGACGTTAATTAGATGGCTGTCCTTACATACCTCCAAGTAAGTTCGCCCTCACAATACCTCTTTTTTGAGTGTCGTGTTGAAAGCATAAAGGCGTTCCGCATTTATTCTACCCGTTGCTCCCTTGTGGATAAAAATGGGCATTCCTTTTCCGAGTTTTTTTTTCGTTCGCTATTTTTATTCTGCATTAAAGAAAGCATGAAAAAAAGCAAACCAAAAATGACATCACACGTAAAAAGCATCACAAAGAAGAATCCCTCCATAGAACCGTTGACATATCTACTAACTACAAAGCCATCGCATGGCGATTCCATAGGCCAAACTCACAATGTAATCTGCCCCAACTTGGACACATGTGCGTTGCTTCTCAAGTGCCTCTCCCACGCGCGCACAGAAATGTGCCGTCGACATACTCTACACATAACTCGTCCAGCTGTATGTGGTTCTTTTAATTCATCTCTCGATACATGACGAGGAGGAACACGTCCTTTCTTTAGGTTTTTTGGATCCTCCATTCGATCATGTTTCTCCGGGTATAAAGGGTAGTGCTTGTCCAGATATTCTTGAAATTGGTTTCTATGGCGAGCTTCATAAAGTTTCTTGAATTTATTGTATGATTCAGTGATAAATGTCACCTCTCCAGGAAACACCTTCCCCTTTAAATCACGTTGCTTGCGCCACTTGAGGCCATACTCGTTGCACAGCTCATCCAGGTCTTTTTGTTTTACCGAATCCAGACGTACGGTATCGTGCGCATCACATTGATTGACGTGCATCAAAGCCCCACTAAGGCGCTCAAACGGCGTGGCGTCTAAACCAATATAGCCACCCTTGTGGACATCAAGCGGGGGAACACTTCCATGCTCCGCAAGATAATTGCGAAGAGTATGCAGGCACTCCTTCCACGGGTAAGGACCTTGAATGCCGTAGGTCCTCCAGAGAGGAAGGGACTCCAAGTCTCGGATTTGGTAAACCTTAAGGTACGAGGGTTCGTTTTTCATGTATTGCTGATATCCTTTTCGTGCATACCGGTAAAACAGTGCCATGGAAATCGATTTTCTTCCTATGACCCATGCATCATTTGTCTTTGGGTACCGACCACACTCCAAAACGATGCGTTTCAACTCATTAAAAGCAGGTTTCCAAGGAATCCGTGCAGCTCGATGCAGTCGATCTGTTTTTTGGTTCGAGTACCGCACACCCCGTCGTATGGCAGGCAAAACAAAGCGTCGCAGTCGCTCAGAAGATAACTTGAGGGATCTAACACCAACAACCTCAATGTCGTACGATACCTTCTGAGGATCAATCAGGTACTCAAAAAGAATAGGATCTTCATCCATTAATGCGTCCGTAAAAGGAATCAACGTGGAAAACTTCTGAAGATTGACAGGGTGATTCTCAGGCAGTTTCTTGTCTATGGTGGCCGGCAAAAAGACGTACGATGCTGGCTTATTCTTCATCTTGTTGAGGGGCCGGCAAATACTCTGGACAATGTCACGGGAGCTGTACCGTGGCGAAGCAAAAAACACTGCATTTAGATCCGGAATTTCCACGCCTTCTTGAAACAAGCGAACGTTTAGTAAAACACAGCGCTTTGAAGTGGAAAAGATGCGCAGGATATTTGCTACAGCCGTGCTTCCCATCCTTGAATGGGCAAGCAGTACTGAGAACGGAATGACATCATCCGGGATTGTTTCTTTTAGTCGTGCCGTGAGCTCGGCAGCATGTTCAATATTTCTACAGTAGACAATCATTTTGTTAACAATCCGCATAGCTTCGTAAAAATACGGATTCATGTCATCCATGCTCTCACCTAAAATAATGCGCAGTGAAAAATTATTAACGTATCCAGCGTCAATTCCTTCCCGCAGGTAATATCGGTAAGCTATCCCACCAAATAGATGAGTGTTATCCATCTTTATAGGTGTATCATAGGCAGGCGTCGCCGTCAGAAACAGTCTCTTGCCTGAAATCGGCTGCATGAGAACACTATTAAAATTTGTCAAGGATGCATTTCCGCAGACCCGATGACACTCATCAAACACTGTAAGAGTAAATCCCTTCATTTTGGACACAATATGTGATGACTGGTACGTGCTGATGACAATCATTGCTGACGTTGACGTGTTAATGGTATTCTTAATTACCTCAGCATCGGTGGTCATCGTCACAACTCGCCCATCATCCAGTGACAAAGAAACCGCACAAGAACCAATGAGAAGGTATTTAGGTTTTCTTAGACCATAGCCGTACAATTTTCTCACTGTTTGTCGTAGAAGTGCAAGACCTGGTACAAGGTAAAGTATTATTGCATTTGTTTTGGTCGTTAGGTAATATTCAATGAGCTTAAAGGCAACAGGAGTCTTGCCACATCGGCACGCCATTTGGCAGATAGTAGCACCGCGCGTCTCTAGCTCATTTCGGCAACGCTCCAGAGCCTCTTTTTGGTAGGGACGAAGAACAGTCAGATCAAACACTTCTTCTTTCAACGCTCCTGGAATGTCAAGGTTGTACTGTAGCTCCTCATCGCTGATATCGAATTCTCCACTTTCCTCCTCTCCTTCCAATCTCATTGTATCATCTCTTGGTGGACGCACACACATAGATTCACGAAGCTTATCTAGTGTATCTACGTAATTCCCCAGTGTGTTTGGTCTCAGAGTGGCATCGGTCGAGATGCTGCTCATAGAGGTCGATGATCGACGACTCGGCTCAACAGTATGGCTGCCTTGACTCACACCGTAGGACGGCTCCACTTTCAGGAGAGCATTGACGTTGAGTACCGAGCACACACGCTGTGCGCCCTCCACCACTTCTCCTGCACTTCCTTTGATTAATTCACGCTGAGGTACTCGTCTATCCTTAAAGAGGAATAGCACTGCTTGCTCAAGGAGAAAGGCTTCTTTGATGCTCTCACACTCAAAAACAGCGAAATAGTACCACTCGGGAGTGAAGCATGTCGTGAAAGAAGCCATATCAAGTCTACGAGAGAGGTCTGCTGTGCAGCCCACCTTCACATAGCCTGAACCTGTGAGCCATGGATGCATGGCGATGTAGAAGCCGTATGCGCATCGTAACAACCTAGTCCGGTAAATCATTCGTCTCTTCCCTCACGGTCAAATAGGAGACATACACGCAAGGGAGGAGATACATTACCACCAGCACTCTTCTCTCCTCTCGTACTGAAAAATGAGATTCGAAATTCGTGTGCACAACAAATTCTCAAGCACAAAACGTTTCCAATACTCATTCTACCCAGTGTAAAACATGAAACATCAATTGGAACCATCTTGGTTGGGTGTATTCGTTGATCTCCAACACTCGTACCCTGTATCTCCCGTGCACCTCTTCTCCTTCTTTGCGTCTATCAAACGTGTAGGAAATCAACGTGATTTACATCCCGCCCACAGACGCAGTGCCGTCGTCATTACCGACAACATCCCCCGTAAACAGCACACGCGACGCGAGGATACTCCGCGACAGCGGTACCTCTGCGCTCGTTGAATCAAATGTATATGAAGTCAGCATTTCACACGCCTCCAACGCAAATTTAGCTTCAGCCAGGTAAATTGAACGAAGTGAAGAATCCAATTGGATTTTTTGGCAACACGTGACAAAATCGTCTATGAAGCGCTGCGATGTTGCCACACCACATTCTCTTTCCCACCGCAGCTTCACAAAAGCGAAAGCCAACACAGCAGCAGCGTCATCGCATTCATTGGCGCGGAGAAAACCTTCACAACGACGTATTATCTCACCTATCAGTAGAGTTATTTCCTTCCTTTTGAGCTTTAAAAGAGATTTTTGCTGAATTCGGTGTCGCACGTTTTCCTTAAGCGTGTGTAGGTCGCTTGGAGTTGACGCCAGCAACGCCTTTCGCATGACGTTCACTTTGAATCGTTCTTGTCCGATATCTTCAGCAAGCCGTGACAGCATTGACAAGAAAGCTGCAACCACCGCGAGATAGCAATAAAGCATAACGGCGATGGGAAGGCATTGTCCCTCACTCTCTTCTAAACAGTGTCTCACATCTTCCAGAGTTCTCACTTCACGGCAAGCGATTAGCCAAAGTGGAAGAAAGCCCTTCCACTCCATTTGTGCGGTGCCGACATCACATCTACCCTCAAGTAACAATAAGAATAAGCCTAACTTCCGATGAAGCGTCGTCAGCTCTGGGTCAAGCGATGCCCCTACCGTTGCAGTCTTCAGAATACTTCTCGCTCTACGAAATGCACCCTGAGCAGCATATGCAATGGCCAACTCTAACGAGGCCGATTGATACTCGACAGAGAACTCATTGCAATACAACTTCACCAAAGAAGTGGACAGCACAAACAACGGGGTAAGGGTGATGAAATCGGTGATGGAAATACCCCCTGGATCTCGAGCCCGCTGTACTTCAGCGGCAAGAAGGTCAAGTTTCGCATCCGGACTAATCGAGACATCAGAAGCAACGCGTTCACACCAAAATGAAAGTCTTCTCTCTTTTTCCAAAAGTTTCACAGACACATTGCAACATTCAGGTTGGCCACCTACCGTTGGTGCGACGCCGCGGTCCAGCACCACTTGAAGTGAGTCTAGAACCGTCTTTCGGCGTACCAGTGAGTCTAAAATGGAGTGGCGTTCCTCATTGTTCAGCATCCGTCTCGCTAAACACCTGAAGACGCACGAAAATACAGAGAGGAAAAGAAAAAAAGAAGAAAGGGGAAAAAAGGAACAAATCCCATAAAACTCGCGGTAACACACACAGACGAAGTAAATATCAGGGGTGATAAAAGAAAGGGCCACCCTCTCAACAAACCCGCAGCCACCCCTCTCATAAAAAAAAGAGAGGGGTGGAGTATGGGTTGGTGTTGAGCTGCCGCTTTCCCTTTTTTGTTATCTTGCTCCTCTGTTTTTTTTTTTTTACTACCTTCACAGTACCTAACGTTAGCCTTTATTACCTAGAAACCTTTTATTATGCAGATTCCGCAGCAGTCTGTTGTTGTTGTCCTTCAGGGGATTCCTGAGGTTCCTCCGATTGGGAATTTAGGTGCTCCTCATCCACGTCACCGTTGCTCTCCTTTGCACGCGGTGCATGTCCTACACGGCATTGAGCGCCATACTGGCAAGGTCGTTTCCCATCGTCTTCGTGAAGAAAACGACAGGCATCGGCGAACTTACAGTTTCCTTGGAGGAAAAAACAGCAAATTGTTTGCCTCTCCCATTGGCGTTGTGTTTCCAAGGAGCCACCAACAAAGGGTTTCTTTCGACGGGCACGAAGCCCAAACCCGCCTCGGCCGCGATCGCCACCCATACCCACGTTGTAGGCACCACGCCCATAACCGCCACCTCCGCGGCCACCGGTGTAGAGAGCCCTTCCACGGCTCACCTGTCCTGGAACAGGGCCTTGAAAGCCTTGCAAGAGTGCTGGATTGTAGGCTCCTTGTGAATACTGTGGGTAGTATCCACCCTGTGAGTAATGGGCAGACGCAGGGTACTGCTGAGCCGGATAGCCCGGCTGGCTATAAGCATTGTAGCTGCCGTACCCACGGTTCTGCACAATTTGTGGTTGACCAAATGGTTGCATGGTCTCCCCTTGAAACAATGAAAAAAGGATAAGCGCTTCGTGTAGAGGACACAAAAAAAAAAAAAAATGGGAGAAATAGAAATATTATAAAGGAGGGAGGCTTAACATGCATACAATTCAACAACAACAATATTTTGTTTATCACAGAACATGAACACTGTAGAGAAATGGAGCGCCAAGCCTCTTGCAGTCACTCTCTTTTTTGTTGTTGTTGTCTCTCATGACCTTCTCACAATGATGTTGGAAGCACAGTTCACACTGAGGTGTGGTAAACCGCAAATCGAACAGCTCGGTGCATCCTGGAGTCCACTGTCGCACCGTGGGCACAGCAAAACATCTGTAGGGAGATTCTGATGGCGACAGTGAGAGCAGACCCACGGCAAAAAACGCGCCCTGCACTCATGCTTACTCTGTGCACGCGCCTCGCCACATGAAGTACAGCAATTGGACCAACTGTAATTCCATTGGCCGCATACATGAGTATCTGAAGATGTCATCGAATCAACCACTTCTCGATGGCATCTCCAGACAAAGACGTCATCATTCATAATGTCAGCCCGTGGTGCTTGACAAGAGGAACAATGAAAACCAATTTGTGGTGAGCTGAATTTGCAATTGTTACACACAAAAGGGCAAAGTTCATTGTAACACAGAAAGGCATGACAAAACGTGCAGTGTCCTTTAAATGGTAAATTTGCAAAAGTGTATTTGCTGCCACATCGATGACAATGTCGTTGAAGAAATGGGGATCGAACAACATTGCGATCTCTTGGATGAATATTACTACAGTTCTGGCATGCAATACAACGCAGAGGTGTTGAATGTAAAGAGAAGTATAGAGTCTTGTGTTGGGTAGATATTCCGCCACACAAATCGCATCTATAAGCGCCAACAGAGTGGTCACGAGAGCAAGTCTCACAGCCGGTGCGACACGAGTGGTTTCGCCTGCCACATCCGCACACCCATGGCTCCATCGGGGTGACGATGCACCCCACCCGGCGTCTGCCAAGGCACCGCTGGCACTTTGACCAGGTCCATTGGTTGTACTCTTCGCACGAATCACATCGCCACAGCATCGGTTTCTTATCCTCGTTCGCCGCATAACAAACTGGACAGCAGACGTCACGCTGGCTGTACAGATTCCCGCAGAATGAGCATTGCCTCTTTGCTTTTTGTTGGCGGGCAGCATTCTCGCACTTGGCGCAGTCACCAAGAAGAGTTAGGACATCACTGCAATCTCTGCACAACCGAACACCACTTCGATTGGCCTCACTTGTCCTCGGGTTTTCTGAACCGCAAGCACACACACTGTCGACACCCGTACTGGCATGCTCTGCCCCGCACGTTACACACGTCCAAGAAACGTTGTGTCTGCGCAGACAAGTCAAGCATCGCTTTGCTGAAGCCGGAAGTTCCGTTCCACACCCGCACCGCCACCAAAAATCAGACTTCTTCACGACATTAAAGTCCTCCAATAAACGACGTATCGCGGGGTTATCCTCAAGTCGCACGCCGCTTAAACGCAGAGAGGGAAAATAGTCCTCTTGTAAGTCCTTTATAAAGCGCTGCACAACAGGAGACGCATCCTCACCATAAAACCTCCATATTTCACTCAAGACCCCAAGGAGACTATCCGTGACCCACAAGAAACTAATGCTTGGATGCTCTCTCAGAAAGCGATAAAAGTTACATACGGCAGTAGACATCTCTGTAAGGGACAAGAAACGGATAGTGTTTATTAAAAAGCGAACAACTTGTGAGAATGCAGCCTTGTCTAGCACAATTGGATGTCCAAGTGATGCGCAAACGTGATACGCCTCAATAAGTCGTGCATAATCCAAACAGTGTGGTGTCAATGTGAGGGCAGCTTTGAGGAGGAGAATCCAAATGGAATGCAAGCTACTCCAAACACTACCGTAGAGCCGAATTGAGATGGATGCCATGCCAGTTATAGTTAACCAGACATCGGAGGCATCCTCCCTAATCATGCCTACATCTACCAAGCTGCCAATACATCGGACAAGGTATGACAGCGGAAGTTTAGTTTCCAAGGCAGGTATTGCCCTGAGAAGTTTAAAGTGCAGCCTAGAAAGAGCCTCCCCTTGACACTGTCGCATGTAAATACGGCTCACCTTATTCAGAATAGGTGTCCAACGAATCGATAAATAATCAAAGGAGGGGCCGATCTTGTCCATAATACTGGTCAGAATGGTGTCCATTTCGTGGAAGTGGAATAATGAAAAGAAACAATCATTAGCCAAAAGGCCATTCAGACAGGCTGAAAAAAACTCCTCCCCGACTCCTTCTCTGTCATACTTTTCTAGCTCCCGCGAGACTATCCGAGAAAGTAGCGATGGAGTCGCAGTTTTGGAGAGTATTAGTTGAAGAATATGACATGGGATGGGATGTTTAAAGTTGTTCAGCTCGGCTACCACAGTCAGATCATAACCATCAGTGTTCACTTTGATTGTAGATAGTGGGGAGTCCAATATTGACACCACCAACCGCATGCACGCAAAATCCTCAGTACAGCAAGGCGATGAAGACGATAACAGGGAAGTCTTGAACAAATCCAAAGCAAGTCGCATACAGTGGCACCTCATGACAGAAGTACCGCCAAAGAGACATGTCTCTACTGAGTGCATAGATGTATCTGTGGTATGCAGCGCCAACAGCAGCAAGGGCCACATAATCTCCGCTGACGAAGGGGACAATGCGCACGCCTGGAGTGCAAAAACAGTGAAAGGGTAAAAACTGTGTGACAGCCTTAAGAGGGACACATCACGAGTTCTAAAGAACTGTTTCGCTCCTTCCAGCAGCTCTCGTTCGAAGATAAGACACTCCTCTGGTGCCACCAATGACCTCGGTGAGAGTCTTTCCACCGCTTTACGCCGCAACAGTGGTCTCTTTGCGACACCGCACCATCGCCGCATTCAGCCTTTTTTTTTTCGAAATGTTCGAACACCACATCATGGACAAGAACCAAGAAGTCGGGAAAACAAATACCCTGGCTTTGCAAGGTACAGCGAAGCTAGAGAAGCCAAACCAAATGAGCTGTACAAAAAGGCATCAAAACGCAAACAAAAAAAAAATGAACTGCTTCTACGTGAAAAGTCTATCGTTATTCTCATTTAGCCGTTCCATGATGGCTTGCGCCTCGGCAGTGTTGTAGTCTGTTGAGAGCACCTCGACCATGTAGGAATCCAATGCACTGGAGCTCCTCTCCTCGCCGTACTCCTCCACACGCAGTCTACCACGCGCACCTGAGCCGATGTATTCTAAAAGACGAAAAAGCGACGGAAAGACACCTGCAATGACAGCAGCACGACGTTCAGAAACAGATGATATCTCGAGGAGCATATCAAGGTAAAGGGCGTGAAAGTCCGTGGGATCACACTTCCGTCTGCTCTCTGTGCGAACAAGTGGGTCACTCTCCATCTGCTGTTTGCTCGTCTTGAATCCGTGCGCGGCAATAATCTCGGCTGCACGCTCCAATGACGGGGCAAAGTCCACGCCGATGAGAAACGATGTAAAGGAGTCGTTAGCGCACATCTGCGCGAGCCCTTCCCAAAATCGCGACTGCCTAGAGCCGGTTAGCTGGCCATGCATTACCACGTAAATAGGGCAACCGGTGGCGTGATGCATCGTCTCAAAGTATTCGCCGGCACAGTTGTGGCGTAGCAGAAGTTGAAAATCACTGCAGGTAATAATAAGTAATATCAAACGAGGCTCACCGTCTTTCGTCACAAGGGCAGTGTTCGGAACAGCATTGTGGCCCCCGCGGACACTAATACTCGCGCCGTCACTCCGAAGCACATGTACGGCACGTGTGACCGCCTCAAGCAGGCCTTCGCATGCAACGTCAGCCACCACTACGACGCTCATAATTGCCTGGAGTTACATGTAGACGAGCCAGGCAAACAAAAAAAAAAACGCTCTCCCAGCCACAAGTCTCCGAACGTGAAGAAGCTTCGCAAAGGCAAAACAATAAAACGCACCTCGTACTCATGCGATAAAAAAGCCCCGGGAGGGTAGACAAGACGCAAGAAAAAAAAAAGGCCCAAGATAAATTAGACAGGCACAACCCCTTCCCTCGCTCTTTCTCTCTCTCTCTCTCTTTTCCTCCGTCGCAGGTACGTGCACAGAGCCACACAAAGTAACAATAACGAGGAGACATCTTTGCAGCGAACAGCTCATGCGCACCGTTACCCACCCAGTAACATTACCACATGGACACAACAGAAGCGGTGCCCACAACCGGGCAGTGAGAAAAAACTACCCACGGCGATTATCCGGGCGCTAGTTCTCTTAAAGCCGCGCAGCCCCCGTGCAGTTGCGGCTTTGAGCATACCTTTTATATATATATATATATATATTTTTTTTTTTTNGGGGGGGGGTCCCTCGCGCCTTTGCACCACAAGAGAGGTCAAATGTGAGGGGTGAACAATACTAGTGCACTCGTCGAGATATATATATATATATAATGCAGGCCAGGGGTGCACGCATACCATCAACCATAACAGAGCCGATCTTAATATGAACCGAGTCAAATAATACACATCACAGCAAACGACCGCATATTTCCTTAACTCCATAATAGCAGAGAAACAGAAGAGAACATGAACACACAGGCTTCTCAAGGCTGCTCTCTACTACAAATCAAATATTGTTGTTGTCGTGTAACAGTCTTACTGCCTCTTTTGCACATGATTCCGTAAGTCCAGTGAAGGCGTTCGTCACTATGGCGTGACGGGCAAAAAACTCACGATTCGGGGCAGTTGCCGGTAAATTAATGTCATCTAGCGCCACAAAGTTCACTACATTGTACCGTTCCTTGTTGGCATCTACCCATGATAATATCTCCACAGAACGCGGCTTGTCTGGAAAAAAAGGGGTACAGGAAATAAACGTTGGCATGTGGTGCTTGACGAGCTGTGTCGCCACCTCGCTCCTTCCAAACTCGGTCATACGCCATGAGGAGCTCAGGACTATTTTGGCTCCTGTCTCTGTGAGAATATGCCGCAGGAGGTCCATCTGCTTCGCTGCAAACAACTTCCCACAGAGCGGTGAAACGACACCATCGCAGTCAAGGAATACAATCTTGGTACCGGCGCCCGGAACTTTGTTCACCACCTCCCCGTCGTTTGCTTTCTTGTCCCTTTTAATCATCTCTTTACAAAAAGAAATTACACGGGGAAAAAAAAGAGCGAATGGAAGAGAGAAAGAGTACCGTTAAAGGCTTTACAGCATGCAGACCCACTGAAGAGCGCATCACTGAGTCGTTTTTTTTTTTTATGACACAAATTGACGCGCGTAATCAAAGTATCACAACAACACACAAGAAAAAATAAGAAACCAAAGAGACCATTTGGGACTATTTTGGCTTCCCTGTTCCTTTGTCTAGCCCCCGCCCCCTTCACCCTCTATACCTTTCACACATACACATACACTTTCCCCCTCGTGTTTACTTTACGGTGAATTATTTAAAATCACACACACACACACACACACCACGACGAGAGCAGCAGATGTACATAGGCGTCAGGTGGAAACGAAGCAGTTTTGCGTTTCGCACCGATATTATTTATAAACAGTGGGTCGCTCTCACTCCCGACACCCTCTCCCCTTCACCGACAGATTCGTACTTTTTTTCCGTCGTCCAGATTTCTTTCCTCTTTCTCTTCAGATGGCCCTCGTGGTCTCTTGGGTCTAAACAGGTTCATTGGAAGAAACCCGTCATCTCTGATCTCCTCACGTGCAAGTTTATGAACGTGCATCACGATATCATGTGCAATCAGTTCGGTAATCCGTGAGTCCTGCTTGTAGTCAGGATGATGCAAGACGAATTCTCTCAGGTACTGCGCCGCTGTTGGTATCTCTCCAGAGGCACGCATTGAGAGGAAGCGCAAGTATCCCTCAAGCATGGCACTGTGTATGTTTTCCTCGGCCATGTAACGACGCACAAGAGGAATAAGGCCGTAATATTCTCCTTTCTTTCCATTAAACACTTCATTGACAGTAAACTCGCCATTCTCACGGCTGTCAGTTGATACCGTGGTGGCAAATATATTTCTTCGCATGACGTATTTTTGATCACAAGGATTGCGATTGTGGGCGTGACCCATGTTTTCGTCAACGATGCTCAATTTGGTGTAGAACGTCGGTTTATATTTAATGATGGCACGGGTGAGCATAATGACAAACACCGAAAAGGCTGCGTTCTCAAACGGTGTTGGCATAACATCCATCACACGGAACTCTACGCGCCAACCAAGATCGCCGTTGATTGACGGAGGCTTCAACCGCACGGACTGCCAGTTAGTGCTCTGAATATTTTCAAAGTGCTCCGTGTGTGCAGTGTCGTCGATGTCAATCATCTGATCGTACATCACAAGAGGATCACGAATAAACAAATGAGCGACATGTTTCGCCAGTCGAGCATCCACACCCTCCTCCTTCAGAGTATCATAGTACACGTCATTGATTGTATACTCCTCATCATTAAAATCTTCCAAGTTTGGGGTTAGGGGACTGACGAAAACAGAGATTGAGTCATAGCGTGACTTTATGATGCGCGGCACCTCTTCACGTTTGCGATCATCAACGGAAGCGGCAATAGTCAGCCAGCGAACATCCGAGTCGCACAGAATACCCTTCTGAAAAGGTGTTGCAGAGCTCAGTGCGAGAAACAATGGACATAAAATCCCCAACTGATCGTAGATGTGACGTGCCTCTGTCTCATTAGAGAGTTGCATAGTTACCTGCAGACAGTTGCAGCCCATACCGAAGGCCATACAATCCATGTAAATACACGGGTGGCTAACAGAAGGGATAGGGCAGGGACACGCTTCATAGCGCTGCTTCACAAGCTCAATCTGTGTCTTCTTGAAATACTGCGCGTAGTAATAGTACGTGGCGGGGGTATAGAGGTGTGTCATCGCCTCAGCCGCCGGATAACTCTGTTGGGCTTGTTTTAGATTCGACAGACTACCAGATCCGAACTTTTGGCCCTTGGGTTCTTTCGCATCCGTCACACCACAGACAATGTTTGAGTTCTGAATAGTGCGATCAATGTTCAGGCGGTGGTCTACTGTATTCTCCATGGTTTGTTTATCAATATATATGGGGACTTGAATGCAAACCTTTCGCCCACGTCGGAGTCGAATATTCTCTGTGAGATTCGCAAAACGAGGGTGGGTGGCGTTGATGCACACATCCGGCACGAACAGTGACTGGGAGTGAGGTGACTCCGTGCTGTCCGAAGTGGCAAACTGACCCACACCCATTAAAGGAAAAGTCACCAACGTGACAGAAACTGAATTCTCACCAGCGACGCTGTCCAAGAGCTCGTACCGATGCCGTATGTTCGCCTCCACGGAGCACAAAGACTCCACATCAAGAGTGTATGGTCTGCCAGGGACGCTCTCCATCATGAAGCTTCCATACTCTGGTCGCCAGCCTGCATTTTCGTCCCCGTTCATTTGCGTCAGGCGCTCAAGGGCATTCGATGCATTTAATGACAGTCTCACCTTTCCTCCCTCCACACGCACCAGATGGTGCTCAACCTCTTCACCCCAGAGAAAAGGGAAATCAGTCTTCTCTCGGTGCTTCCGGTACATTGTCAAGAATTGTAGAATGCCATGCGCGGACACATTCGGTATGGCGCGGTTGTTCTCGTCGGTTCCCCACCGCATAGGCGCACCCCCTGTAGTCAGAAGGCCCATCTTTTAGTGAACTCTTTTTTTTTTGGCCTGTAAAGCCTCCTCTGAAACTCCCTGTTTGTAGTTGTGTATACGTTTATATGAAGATATGCTACGGCCACCCAAGACCGCGTGAAGCGAGAGAAGAGCGCACTTTCCCCAACTACAACATGGGTGGGGGAAAAAAACACGAAAACCACAATCAAAAATCCAAAGGCAAAAAGCAACTATTACTCCCTTCTCCCCCCCCCATCCCATGCAAAACAAAAACGAAACAAAGCACAAGACTACTCATCAAGTATGCGCATTAATTCATCGTAGGAGGCTTTCACCAACTTGAATTTCTCCTCGGCCTCTTTTTGGTGATGTTCTGACGCACCACACCACTTGTCTGGATGCCACCTCATTGCGAGCGCGCGGTAACTTTTCTTCACTCTATCCACGCCCGCACCATCAGGAAGCGAAAGACAGGCGTACAACTTCGCGACGGCCTCTGGCGCTGAGCGGTTTGTACGTGCGCTTCGCGTGTTATTATCTCTCGCTTCGGCACGGGCACCATCATTCTCTGGAGCATTGTCACCATGTGCGAAGCGTCCGTCCTGTGTCTCCTGCTGCTGTTTGCGCCGCTGATGCTCCTTCTGCCGTTGAGAGAGACGCTGCCACACACCCACAGCCTCCGCTGTATGGTGTTCTCTCAGCGAAAGCATGGCGCTTCGAACCGCATCGGACAATCGACCAAGTCTCTCTTCCGTGTGTGCCTTAAGCAAAAGAAGCTCTGCTCGCTCCTTTCCTCCTGCAACACTTCGTAACGCAATGTTGATGTCGTCCATGCATTCGTAACTACGTTTGATCTCGTAAAACCCGCGCGCTCGTTTTGCCAGCAATGCCATGCGTAGTCGCTCACCAATGTATGGACGTTGAATCGTCGCTGAACACAATTCAATAAGACGCTGCCATTCTTTATTGGTGAAGAGAGAATCCAGATCCTGACATAAATCGATGCACTGCTGAACATGACTGGCTGCTTGGCGAAACCGGGCTGTGTGATCAGTGGGAACACTCATCCCCAGCAGTGGTAAGACCGCCTCCAACTCTGTTTTTGTGGTGCTCTCCAGAAAGCGCAGTTGTGCACGCCAGTACAGAAGCTCCGGTGAATCAGCATAACGACAAAGGCATTTATTTGTGTACACCAATGCTGCTTGATTTCCCTCTTCAATAGCAAGCAGCTGCACCTTCAACGCCTCAACGGTAGCACACGGAACACGTTCCAGCAGTTCGTTCAAGTGCTTAAGAGCCATCACATGTTCGTTCCTCTCAAGGAAAGCGGCATACCGCTCGTACAGTGCAACCTCAGTCAATTCTTGCTCGAATGAGCCGTAACCTTTTTTCCTGTGTCTCTCAATAATCTCACGCGCCTCAGCGCATCTGCCGCAACAAATGTAGGACCGTATCGCACGACGCATGCCGAGGACATACCGGCTATCCATTTCATAAGACCGTGTCGCATCACGAAGGCATAGCTTGTAGTTCTCAGTACGCAAGTAACACAAGGCACGGTTGCTAATGAGCGCCGCATTCAGCACGTTCGGCAAACACGAGTCAATAACTGTCGAGAACGCCTCTGCAGATTTAGAGTACTCTCCCTTTTGGTATAACTCACTTGCCAACTGACATATATGTCGCTGTTTCTCGTCAAGGGAGGTTGCATACATCGCCGGGTCAAGCTCAAGCAAGTCACGGATGTCACCCGAAGAGCAACCGGCATCCGTTCCGCCTTGGGCAGCCGCTACAGAAGCAGCGGCATACGGCGCAGACATCCCTGCGAGTACCGCTGTTATGTCCTCCAGCTGCTGCGTGAGGGTAAAGAACTCCTCATCGCTGAAGTTTCTCGACCTGCTCGTGGACGCAAGGTCGCCACACAGGGACGACTGTGTTTCCTGTTTCTCGCATGCAACGCCTGTTTGCTTCTGCGTGCGCCACTCCTGCACGGCGGCGTTCCACTCGCGGCACACCGACGCGTCAAGGAAGCGTGGCATGCGATCATCGTTCGCGAGCAGCACGTTTGCGGGATATGCGCCGACCCCTCCACCCCCTTCCATCCACCGCTGCGCTACAGCGTGGGCAAAGATATAAAAGTAAAAATACGAAAAAAACAAAAAGAGGAGAGAGAACGGGAAACAACACATTGTCGAACAAAGTATTCTTTTATTACAGGTGGTAGCAGGGAAGGTATAGAAATAAGAAAAAAAAAAGTTGCAGCTCGGCAAATATTCGGCTGGCACGATGCAAAAATTTGCTCGTATGATACATAGCGCCCCGTCTGTTGCACTGGCTTCGTGGGCCCTTGTTTTACACTTGCGCGCCCAGCAGGAAGTTAACATACATCTCACTCAGTTTTTGAGCCTCTACGCACGGACAAAGAAAAATTTATGCGTGGTTTTATCATAGTCTTGGTTGGTGGCGTTACTTCCGCACAGCTTCCAACCGCCCTCCTCGTCCACCGCATCGAGAAGCGCAACAAAGAGCTGCGACTGGCCAATGTCCTCACTGGCGAAGTGTGTCTGCAGCTCGCCGTACCAGTGTGGCGGCTCCTCCTTCCGCACAAACGCAAAAGGAACTTTCCCGGTGTTGGTCGTCGTGCACGAGCCAGGCAATACCTCGTTGAGTTTCTCAATAGTACTCTCCTTCACGGGACCCAGAATAGAGATGTTGGGCGGGTTGCACGTGACGTTAATGATCAAGTTCTTTTCCATTTTTTTTTTCTGCTTTCGTTTGCGATGCTGTTTTTTTTTTTTGCTTCTTTGACAATGTTTGCCACCGCCAGGGTGCAGAGAAGAGGAAGCGCGTTGCACAGAAGAAAGGGCAAAACAACAAGTCTGCAGCCTCACAGAGACCAGAGGCAAAACACATGAAAGGAAAAAATAAAATGGTACGAACAGAAAGGGGGAAAGAAGGTGGAGCAACAACATGGGCACCCAGCTATGTACATTTCAGAGCAACGGTATTGTGTCATCTGCAGCTGCCTTTGCCGCCGCCTCTTGCCGTCGCCGCCGCTCAACCTCTTCAAGGGCCGCCCGCTCCAACTCCTCCTTGGTGGGTGGAACATAGGTACCCTGCAAGCGTGCAGCCATCTCTGTTAAGCTACACTTTTTGGGGAGCAACGCGCGCAACTGCTGCGCCTCGGCTGGGCTTAGCACACTCTCGCCATTCGTTGTAACGACTCGAACCAGCTCGTCAATGGCTACCTCGCCAGCTCCCTCGTTGTCAACCACCTTTAGCGCCGTCAATACATCCTTCTGCTCCGCCGCCGCGTCGCGGTAAATCTCTTCAGCACATGATATAAATATGTTCCAGTCGATGTTCTTGATTTCCTCCACAGGGACGATCTTGACGGGCTGCTGCGGCGTCTGGCCCTCCGCCGCCTCGGCTTCCAGTGTCCGTTCTACAATCGACTTGTGTGGTTTCTTCTGCGGATACATGGAGGAGCCACGCTTCTTCTCCCGCATCTCTTCGCGGCGCCGCTCCTTCTCGCGCTTCAGCTCTTCTTCGCGGCGCCATTGCTCAAGCCGAAGTACCGGATCCGCCATCCGCGTGCGGAGGTAATCCATGTCTCCCTGCGTCGGGTTCATCCCCATACCGCGCAGCAGCGTCATGCAGTCAAGGAACGAGATCAACTTCTCCTTATTCTCCAGCATCGTGAAAATCGTTTCGGCCTCATTGTACACCTCGCTCGTCAAGACGGAGGGAGGGCGGCGGGGACGCTCCTCCATTAGTGCCGTCGCCCCTTCCCTTTTGTTTGTTTTTGGTTTGCCCAGCGACCACAAGAAATGAATGGGCATAGGATGGAAAGGGATGTATAGACAAAAGAAAACCGTACACAACACATCTGACGCGTCAACAGGGCTGTTGTTTTTCGTTCTTCGCTTTCCCCCCACCCCCCATTTGTGATGCCTTTCTCCACTCGTCTACACTTTAGAGGAAGTCACACAAGGCGGTTGCAAGCAAAAAAAAAGATGGTGCAGCACACACACAAAAAATTATGGAAACGATCAGTACGTGCCCTTCCCACCGGTTTCCCCCATTTAATTACCGTGCTGCTTGCTTGTTATATATATATATAACCAGCTGTGAAAAAAATGGCTATGACAAGAAGGGACCGTGAAGTAGGAAACAAAACACGCGTCTGTTTACCCTGCATCGACAAACACATTACGGCACTTCACCACAGCGTCCATCGTGGGCACGGCAATAGCCTTCAATTCAAACGCATCTTCGGGTGGCGTGGTAATATCGGTATTTTCTCGGTCGCTGGCGCTTGCATCCTCCAATACAATCATCTCATGTCCTATTATTCTAGTCTGAGCCTCCTCCGCCAGTGTGTTCCAGTCCCACTGTGACGTCATGAAATATAGCAGTGGTATCTCAAACACAAACCCCGTGAGAAGGCCCCCAAGGACGCCATTTACACCCCAGCCGAAAACGAAAACATACAAGGCAGAAGCAGGCATGCCGACAAGCCACAATGTGAAGAGTACACCGTGTGCCGCCTGCTTTGGTCTACCAGCACCACGAAAGATACCTTGCAAACAAAACTGGAGAGAGTCTCCAACGTGGCACAGAATAACAAGCGGCATTGCCGACTCCACAGCGCTTGCCACCTCAGGAACGTTTGTATACAAACGAGCAATGTGGCCACCAAAACACCCCATAAGTGTTGCAGTGCAGGCACAAAGCACAATGTCGCAAATGATGATAAACCTGGCGTACTGGGCCGCAAAGCGGGGCCTTCGTGCGCCCAACGCATTTCCGATAATGACACTCGCTGAAACGCTTACGCCGAGGGCCAATGAAAACATCAATGAAACAATATTCATGGAAACACCGAAAACAGCCAGTGCAAAGGGTGAAATGGTTATTGTGAAAAATGCCTGTACTTCAAAAGCCCACCACTCCGCGCAGACCGCAATTAGTGAGGGTATGCCTACACTCATGAATGTGATCCATTCATCCTTTCGCCGGAGTGCCGGCGAGGGCCACTGCGCCTCGCGGATAATAGCCTTAGGATGAAAAATACTGAACAATACATTTGTAGCAGCGCAAAGACCCACTGTGCAAGCCAGGGACAAGGCTGCCCCCTCAATTCCTCTTGGGGTAAGAAAGTAGTTGGCTATGGGTGACGTCAACGCCGCTGCACCGTTAGCAGAAACTACAACTCCTGGAAGCCTCTGGGCGAACAACGTCTTGCTAAAAGTTCCACTAATTGCTTGGGCCATGAAGTACGGTGGGCAGTACGCGAGGAATCTTGCGGCACCTTCACCAACAATGTCACCAAACGCAAGTAACATGACATGTTTACTGTTTACAAAAAAGATGCTCATAATAACCCACAAGACAAGATTAAGGATGAGGGCGCGCTGCAGCGTTTCCCCAACCATGGGAGAGCGTGGATCTTGTCCAAAAGCTTGTGAACCTAGTGTGTCAATCGCAGAACCCAAACCGCTCACTACAGACATAGCCATGACGTTGAAGACAAGAAGCCCCGCACTGTACTGCGAGATTCCAATCGCACCAAGATGATGGCCCACAAACATCATAGTAACTGCCTGCGAAGACATCCACAGAATGCTACTGACGTCTGTTGGTAACAATATCTCCAGTGTCTGACGAATAAGAACCCAAATCGGGAGCCTTTCGTCGCCAGAATGAATTGACAGATGGTCCCCAACTTCCCCTTCTTCAAAGTCTTCCAGACGTCGCACCGGTTTCATCTTTCCTTTTTTTTTTCTTTTTTTTTTGTTCATCCTCATAGTTCAACGTGCATGGCAAGAAACAAGTACAGAGCAAAGAACCATGGTAAAACAGAAAGGGGTCCCAGAGGGCCGGCGGTGACGTCAGCCACATCGCCCTCCTTTTCACTCTCGCCATGCCGCCACAACAACTTCTGCATCCTTGTATACATGATTATCAGCAACAACTGTATCGGCATGCTGTTCACTTTTTTTTTTTCCTTTCGGGTGTGTAGGAGTGTTTTCTTTTGTTTCCTCTTTGTATTTCCCTTCCCACAGATTCTCTCTCTCCACGCCCTTTGCGTCTACATACTGGGGAAAGGGGGGAGGGGGGCAGAAAGACCTTCTATTCCAATGGCTCGGCCAACACCAGCGACGCAGCGAGACCCGCCTTGGCATCGCTCACAGCGAACATAACCTCTTCCAATGGTACCGCAATAAATGAAGTCTCTGCACCCTTTGCACTTTCCTGCACCCCCTGAAATATCTCCGGCGCCATCAACACGCTGGCAGAGCAAACCTTGTAAGGTGCAGTCCCCTCATTCCCCACAGTATATTTAACTTGACTCAGCACCTCAACACTGTTAAGATCAAAGCCTAACCGCGTTAGAAGTTCACCATTTGTCCACGTGATGGTGCCATCGCAATCCTCCGCTCCGCAGAACGCCTCAACGGTGAATTTGCATCCAGCAGATACACGACGTTGGCGGACAAGCAAGGCGTACTTCGTATCATTCACGATGGCAATGGGGAGCAGTACAACAGGGGTAGAATCGCAGAGGTCTACCGTCTGGACAACCTTCCCACTCTGTGTTTCGCATTCGACATCCATAATAACACCCACCACACGCTGAGCGATGCGTCTTATGTTTCGGACAATGAAGGCTGACGGCATTGGACCGTGCTCCGCACAGGCAGCCAGGTAGTTGCAGAAAGGTGTGTACGCCGCTACCGACCTTACCCCGCCCTCACCGTCATCACGATACGTCTTGTGTGTTGTAAGTAATACTTCTCTATTGCCGATGAGAACCTCCATCACCCTTCCCTACTCCCACCGTTTAAAGCTAAATCTTGTTACTCGTGCACACCCACAGACATATCAAGCAAAGCAAAGAAAGAAAGATAGTGCATGAGTGTGTGAAGGAGGAAGCGAAAACTAATAGTAGGGCAAACAAAACAACATCAATTCATGTCAAGGACCCGCTTTGAGTTTCGCGTGTACCTTGTTCATCTCACACTGTCGCACAAACGGTACCTCTTGGGCTCAAGTCAAACGTTTCGACTGCGGTGGCCCTGTAGTCCTAGCCATGTCAAGAGCTGCTGAACCGGTGTCGAAAGCATTACTGGACCCAAAAGGGGCACCGACTCCAATACACGCGCTACCATTGGAAAAAAGTTGCCAAAGAGGTTTAACGCGCCAAAGCCCTGGAGCAACAGACCAACGAAACAGAAGCCCATGATGATGAGCAGCATTCCCACGAAAAAGCACCCGGAGGCCCGGCGGCGGGAGAGAAAGAATGATTGAAACCGTCTAGGGCCCATCACCAACGCAACCCCGGCAACGAAGAGAATGTTCCCCATTGTCAGTAGCGCACTGTCTAGGAGCATAATAACGCCAAGGAAGGTGAAAAACGCTCCAAGCCCGGTCAGGGCAACCCCAATCTTCGTGGAGTCATTCCAGTTATATAGGGAGTCCATTCGGGCCCCTCGAGCCCTTTCTATTGCTCCGGTCATTGAAGTGCAACGGCAAACAAAATGTTCGAAAAAAAAAAAGAAGCAGACACAGCGTGTAGGCAGCTAATAGCAGCGCCACAGCTCCCGAATTGAGGTAAACAGACACAGCAAGAGAGAGAAAGTGTGCTGTAGTGCATGCAGAGACACTATACTGCGCCCCTCTTTTTTTTTTAATCTGAGGGCGTTAAATCGTTTCTTTCTCTGTTTTTTCTTTCTCGTTCCGTCTGTGTTTTCTCAGTTACTTAACCTGTCTTTACGCGTCGTCATCGCGTCTAGGACGCTTACGGCTCTTCTTCTCTCTCTCCCTTTTCACAGTCGCCTCCAACGTGGCACGGTCACCGCCATTGGCATTCCTCTGCTTCGCGGCGAAGGCTTCCATGCGTTGTTGACGGAGTGATTGGTGGTACGTCGACAGCGGACTTCCGGCCGCCTTGAGGTCATCTTCCATCTGCTTCACAGCAGCCAGGTCACATGGCCCGCTGTTCGCTTGATCGCGCCGCGCTATGATGCGTTGACTCGTTGTCTGCATGTGGCGGAGAAGCGCGCTCAACTGCGAGTGAATCTTTGGCACCTTCACCTCAGTGCGCAGCCGCTTGAGTGTGGCCTCCACAGCCCAGAAAGCCTCTGGGAACCCAACAGTGTGGCTGTGCGTCGCCATATGCTCCGTAAGAAGGTACAGACACTCGGACCACATACTCAAATGGTAGCTGGAGCTACGCGCCTGTGACTTCTTCACCCGTATCGTGAACTGCAGATCCACGGGTTCGCCAGTCTCCTTTCCCCCATGCGAATGGTGGTCAAGAGATATACTCGGTGATGTCAAAATGCGCAGCAGGTACGGTGCCACGGGAATAAAAACACCATCAGCGCGGAGGGAGATGTGGTTGAGGATCTCAATGATCTGCAGGTGCATTGGGAACATACGGGGGGAGGAGAAGAGATCCATCATGCCGGTTGCAATCTGAACAACGGGATGTACAAGGGGCCCCAACTGAGAAGCCTCAGAATACTTCGACACCACTGCCCCCCATGTGCGCAGGGCGTTGAGGTACTGCCAATTTACCACAGCGCGCACGTTGCTTTGTGTTTGCTGCTGCAATGCAGCACGAAGGTAAATAGCCAATTGTCGCAGGTAAACAAAACTATGTTGGTACGCAGCCTCCATGTCAGTGCCGTACAAGTCCACCACACAATTCATAAGAAAGGCTATCAGTGGAGCATCATGGATGTTGTAATGGTGCGCAGTTCGCACGAGAGTGAGAAAGATACCCTTGAACGCAGCAGACTGGTACATCGAGCGTGTTCCCGTCGCACGTGTTGCAACAGCGCGAACTACAACGTACGCCGCGATACGTACTGATTCCTCGGGTGCAGAACATAGTGAAAGGGACGCCTTTAGGACAATCTTTGTGATACCTTTCATGTAATGTAGCAGTGGTACAAAAGGTGTGAGTGCGTGAAGAAGACCCGACGTCAGTACAGGGTCGATGCTGCCCTCCGACACACTGGCGACGAGCGCAAGCAACAGCCGCCGCATTAGAAAGCGCGTCTTGTGCGACTTGAACGACCCCTTGCCGGTGATAACGCTGCTCAGGTTCGAGCCAATGAAGCGAGCGACGCGCAGCATCGACTCCTTCACCAGTGAGGGATCCTCAAACTTGCGCGTGGCGCTTGATTTTGGGTTTTCCTTTACGCCATAGCCCAACTCACGGACGGCACTGACAAAAATGTCAACACACGCCTCGATCTTCTTCCCTTTCACGAGGCGGTCAATCTCATCCCGCGTCACGCGTGGGAGCGCCGTCCTCTCAAGGTTATTCGCAGCTTGGTCAGTGTTGTCTTCCTCACCTTCGTCTTCATTGGCCTCGTCCTCGTCCATCTCCGTCTCAGCATCACTCCCCTCGTCCTCGTCCACAATATCCATGTCCTCCTTTCCGAACTGGAGCAGCGTCGGGTCCTCCTCCTCAAGGTACGAGTAGAATTCCGGGTCTGTGTCTTTGAGTCGCTCCAGCTGCTCCAGGTGCTCACGCTCCTCGCGCTGGGCCTCCTTCGTCTCGCGTGTCTTTTTCTTTTCAACACGTTCCAGTTTCTCCTTCCTTACTTTGGCGCCTTTTCGGCGATTCTCAATTACCGTCGCCAAATGTTTCTTGGCATACTTCTTGAACGATTTTTTGTCCTTTGTCGCCATAGCCCTTCTGCTCCTTTTTGCTCTGCCTGTTTCGCTCTTAGCCTGTTCAACTCTGTGCGCGCCAAAAGCACCTAGAAACTCAATTCACCCCCTTTCCCTGGTGACGATGATGCACGACGCAGCAGGACCCTCCCCACCAATCAGTCTGTGAAACGAGTAAGAAGAATGCAACAAAAAACGCAAACAGTCACAAGAGAAAAAAAAAAGCAAGGGAATAAATTCACTACTACGCCTGTACCTCTCCCGTCCGTCCTCCTCCAAAAAGTTGGAGAAGGAGAGAAAAACATATGCGCATACTCTGGTGGAGCAACGGCAGCAGCAGCAGCAGTACTAGTAGAGTTTTCTCTCTCACACACTCTTTTCTTCCGAGTATTTGACTCTATATTCACCCTTTATAGAACACTCTATATAACTGCGCACCCGTGGCACCCCTGCATCACCGGCAGACGCCTTCTATGGCTTTTTTTCTTCTTTTTCTTGTCTCTTGTATCCTCCACTGTCTGCCCAGCAGGAAGAGAAGGAGGCGCAGTAAAAGAGGCAGCAGCTACATTGGCAGGAGGAGGCGGAGGAGGAAGTGGGAAAGAAAACGGCGTGGTACAGAAATGATCCGTATAATCCTCTTGGCTCCGATCCGAAAGCGTTCTTTGAGAGTCAACGGCGTCACTCGTCGATCCGTGCGCTGGGTACCGCGACACCTCTGCATGAGGCGGCAGTGCGCCCGTGGCAAGGGCCCTAAAACGCACATCAGCTGGGGAAACAGCAACTCCACCCACGCTGCTGCCGCCTCCGTCGTCGTCGTCGTTGTCGTTGTCGCCACCACCGCCACCGCCACCGCTGTCTCCTCCTTCTCCGCCGCGTCTATTGCTGCCGCTACTACTGATTCTGTCGTCAATGCTCTCAGGGGTACCGACCTTGCTCTCGCTCTCGGTGTCACTATCACTGTCATTGTCGACGCTCTGAACTGGTAGTCTGAGCAGGCCCTCTAACGGCGCAGCTTGAGGGTCCTGCTCAACCGCTGGCACCGCCACTCCCATTTCTTCATTATCAGACGAAGACGCTGACGACGAAAAAGAGGAAGAGTACGAGGAAGAGGAAATCACAAACGCACGAACTGGATGGTGGGATGACGACTCAGGGGGAAGACCGAGTGCTCCATCCCCTGAGAAAAGAAGCGGCATCACCTGTAATGGCGACCGCAGCTGTGGCTGGTTTTGTGCTTGGCGTTCAATCTCCTCCGCAAGCGGCGCCGCCGGTGAGCCGATGGAGTCACTGGAAGAAGTAACGCCCTTCTCGTCACCGACGTTTCCGCGTTTCAGTGTTATCTCCAACAATGCAGAAGCGCTCAGCCGTCTCGCAGAATCTGTGAGACTGGTGTCTTCATTCATCGGAGGCGAAGACAACGGCGCATCATGCATGGCATCCTCCAACATACCTTCCTGTTCACCCTGGAGCGTAACAAGGTGCTGAAGAATGTTCTCCTTCAGCTCGTCCGACGCGTTGAGAGGAGTGCAGAGCACCACCGCCAGCGGCACCAGTGGTTCAAGCGTCAGGAGTCCCCCACAGCACTCAAAGGAGTCACGTGCAGTACCCATCGTCTCCACCAGCTCTTCACTGATTTCAAAGAAAGCCAAAACAAAAACTTTGTTTGTCTCGTCGTATTCATGTGCCTCCCAAGACTCACTGGCACTGCAGTTAAGTCGATGTAACCCGACACAAGCAGGGATACCCGCATCAAGCATTGACAGCCCCATCGCAATATCACCAACATCTAGGAAGGCCAAATTATCACCCGACTCATTCTTGTCACGCGGCGCCAAGCATGCCATTAACGAGGCGTAGCCCACCACCTGCACCTGGGGAGGAAGATAGGGGTCAAAATAGTCGTCAAACCCCACAGAAAGTTCCGGTAGTTCACCAAGGATACGACTAAGAAGCCACCCCGCAACACGTTTTGTGTCCTTTGAACGCAGTAAACGTTGTCGGTGGTCTGCACCAGGGGAGGTGGTTTTTTCAGTGCCTTCCTGTGAAGGAGATCCGCGCGTTGGAAGCGAACAACCCGAAAGAGGACTCTGGTCTAATCGCCCATTTAGTGCCTGCTCAACAACAGTTTTGAAGCTAGAGGAGTAGTGTGGATTTTGTTGTTGTTGTCTTTGCTGCTGCTCTCCAACAATCTTTCTTAGTAGCAGCAGTTCAGCAAGGAGGTCTTGTTTCTCTCCCGGGTGAAATAAGCTCATGTCCTCGCTCGGTTTCTGTGGAGGGGCCTTTGTGTGAATACGTTTTAGTCGCTGCGTGTAACGCATGGTGCTCATCGTTTCGTGGTAAAATTGAGCATCAGGGTGGATGCAGGCAAGAAATACGGTCATGGAGGCTCCTGAAAGGTACCGTTGAAGCAGCACTGTCAGCGTCGTGTCTCGGAAATTCACGTATGACGCAGTGCCGTCTGCCTTTACACGTGTTGCGCTGAGAGCTTCTAGCACCGTGCTAAGACGCGAGAGAGATTTATTGATAGCGATACTCTCCTTGTTCAGCTGCGGCGAATATGTAGTTTGCCGCTCACTACCTGCCAAGTCAACAAGACAGAGTCGCAGGCCACGGCTCTTAATTGTAAAAATTGCATGACTGCGGCTACTACGCGAATTGCGCTCTGTTGGGGCGGTCCGCCTTGTTTTCATCCCGAACTCTGCCACAGCCCTCCATTCTTCCATCGACGTGATAGAGCAGGTTGTCAAGTTTTCCACCACAATAACTGTTCCATCAGGGCCCGCGCGACGGCGGATCTGGCGCCGCTCCCCCTGGGCAAGAAGATCATGCACCGTCTCCCCGTACACTTCCAACATTGCGACCTCCGCAACGCCGTGCACATCAAGAACAGCCTTGGTGGAGAGCGTCAACAGTCCCGGCTCCTGTTCTGAGCCGGCAATTGTATGTGTCTTGCCGCTGTTTGTGTGGCCGTAGGCCAAGAAGCAGGAGGTGTCAGGCTCGTCAATGGAAGAAAGGACGCGATTCAGCACGAGAGTGCGAAATAGTTCCTCATTACTGCAGCCTTGAGAAATCACGCGGTCAACATGGAAGTTTCGGGGGACGCTGCTCGCATGTGTTCCGGTAAGGTCTGCAACCACAACATCCTGACTGTCTATGCCCTCAACACCGACGCACGAGGCGCCACCCTCGCCGGGACGAAGACGCACCTCTACCTGGATCCTGCGGCCCATCTACCACCTATATCAGTTGCCGTGCCTGCAAACCGAAGAGATAACAAATTTAAAAAAAAATAAAGCAAGGATGCGATCTTAACATATCTCATTGCTTACATAATGAAAACAGGAAAAGCACACACACACACACACACAGACAGACAAACAAGCATACACATATACACACACAGCCCATCTGAAGTACGTCAGCAGCGCCCAGGCAGAGACGGGAACGTGGCAGACTACCAGAGCAGAGTATTGTTGACCGACAAAGCGATCAGTGTTACACCAGGGACCCTTAATGGGCTTTGCCACCGGCTCCCACATATGCGGCCCGGCAAGTCCAGCAAAACCAAAAAAAAACCGGACCGTCAAAAATGGTGTTGCTACTGCAAGACAACAAAATAGACTATAACGCCCAACGCAAGCGCTATTACAACAAGAGCACCAGCGAAAAGCGCCCATTGCATAGTACCTACGCCACTGTTTTTACCTCTACCAGACAACCCTGACGCCCCCGACTTCGATTCGCCGCCCGCCATGACCTCATCGAAGGTTCGCCGCACTGGCACCGGACGCCCAGAACGTGGCATACTCATGCTACGTGATGCGCTCGCAGTTGCAAACACCTTCTTCGTGCGCTGCAGGTATAGGTCGAATTTAATAAAGCAATACGGCCGCGTGGCCGCCTCCACCTGTGGACCGTATTGCTGCAGGAACTCCTGGGCCACGTCTTCCAGAAATGCGAAGGCCATATTCGCTGGTGTAGCAGGGTCACACATTGTGAGAAATGACACATCCGACTCGAAGAGGATGTGAAACATGTAGTTTTTCCACACAATGGTTAGAAATGGCGGCACGTACACAGAGGGATTGCTGTGTTCTACCGCCAGCTTCCTCAGAAGCGTTTTCGCCGCCACTTTGCACTGCTCTAGTTCAGAGCTGCATGTGTCCGTGTCTGCCGCTAACGCCAACGCATCTCGCTGACGAACAATAAGTGTAAAATGAAGCATTCACGCAGTGAGGCTACTTCCCTCTCGCACCTTCACTTGCTTTCCCAATGACGCTGATAATTGAAGAGAAGGAAAAGCTGAGGCAAAATATTAGTAAACGCCCATCACAGAACGTCAGAACAAAAAAAAACCGAATCAATTACAGCACAATAGCAAAAAAAAACGTTACTTAGAGTCAGGAGCAACACAAAAAAACAACAACTGAGAACCATCAGGATAGAACTCATGCTGAGGCCTCAAGGAATGAATGTAAACTGGCAACTCGTTATTTCCTGCCGGCACAACGGGCAGGTATGCATAGCGCGTGAACACGGCCAGCATACGCAGAGATGGCGACACGGCTCGAACAGGGTGTCTCTTTTGTGGTTCATGCACACAACACACTCTTCCTCATCGTGCCGCGCAAGGTTTGGGGTATACGTAGGCGGCGGAAGGTCACATCGCAAAGGCGACGCCGATCCAGGGCGGAAGAGGAGGAAGCAGACACACACGCCTGCCGCCACAACTGCCGAGAAAGCGGCTAGCCGCGCCGAACTCAAGACGTTTCCCGTTTGCAGCAGGCGGTCCAATTCCTGGCGCTGGCTCACAATGGTAGCCTCAAGCGCACCAATAATCTCTTTCTGCCTGGCCTGTTTTTTTGACAGCGCCCACAAGGCCACACCGAACGGTACAATAATGATTGCCTCGAGCATGTCCAGCACATAAATAAACCAATATATATATATATATATAATGTATGTCCTGTTTAAAATATAGAGTGGACGAAACAATTGTCTCTCCCACAAAGAGAGCAATTGGTGGAGACGAGGGGGTTTACGCTATCTTTTTTTTTTCTCCTTTCGCGAAAGCAAAGAAGGAAACTGGAGGAAGATGGGAGCTCGTCCGGCACAAGAAGAAGTCCGAAAACACAATGTCTCGTCAAAAAGGCGGAAAAAGCGCCAACTCACTTACTGTCACTGTGCTGTTGATGTTTTTTTTTTGTTGCCGTTCCCTACTTGTAGGTGCTGGCGTCATTTTTACCGGTTTGTGTGCATGCTGAAGCAGCGCCACAGAATCATTGTGAAAACGGAGTCATCGTCGCAGGCTGCCGAAACGGCACACCAAAAGTAAGAAAAACGATCGTACGTCAGCACCTCGCACGCGTTCTCGCAGAAGCAACACGACATCACATGGCGCCATTCCTGATTACTACCGATTAGAACGTCTTGTGCCTTCTCTGGCTGGAACAGAGCCAGGACGTGTTCCGCCTCTACGCCATCTCGTCTCTTCTTCGATGCGTCCCCGTGGGCTATTAACAGGTCGTAGAGTTGCCTAACCAGTGCCTCGCGGCTCGCAGGGAACTTGCCGCACAACAAACGCACCAAGCGCACTCGGTCCCGACCCCTAAATCGCAGCCACTCTACCTCCGCGTCGCTCACGATGTCTGGCACGCCGACTTCACGCAACGTGCCTATGAAATGTGCAATGGGAAGCGCACCCTCATGGAGGGCGAGGTGCAGACGCAGGAGGGCTAACATGCCGCCAGCCTTCACTATGTAACGCCGCACCGCCTCCACAACAATGCCAAAGAGAGACTCACCGGCCGGGGTAAAATGCCGCGTAAACTCTCGCATCAGTGTATAAACAGATACAACCTCCCTAGTGCCGCCCTCCCGCAGAAAGTGGAAGAGCCGAGAGACTTCTTCTGTCGCCAGACCAACGCGCAGATTACTGCACAGCTGCTCAAACGACTCAAATTTGAGATAGCTGCCAGCCAACTCCTTCCCAACATCAATACACAAATCCGCTTTCCTCTCTACACCTGAGGTGGAACCTTGTTCAAGTGGCAGACGATGCAGTTCCTCAATGAGAGCTAAGGTGCCAGAGTGACCCATCCTGTTTGGGTCACTAATAGCCTCAGCGAATACGGACATGAGCAGTGGGAAGTGCACATCAGCTGGCAGTGGACGTTTGTACAACAGCGAGTAAAAGTACGATCCATCGACCGCAACTGCGGTGTGTGTTGAGGTAGTACTAATGGCGCAGTAATCGATCAGGAAAAGCGCCTGAGAGAGGGTAAGGCCGTACGACTGCGTTAGGCAGTCGAGAAGTGTAGAGACCTGGAGAACACATGCACCCTCCTTCTCGTTGCGCATGTGCGCTGCCAGTGCCAGGCCGCTAGGTGACTCAGATGGGTGGGGTGATTGTGAATTTGCATCCATTACACAAAGGATCTCCCGCAGCAGCGTTGCCCGTAAAGGACACATCTGCCGCAAACACAACAACATTGTCACGGGACTAGCGCAAGGGCCGTCATCATCCCCGCCGCCCCCACCACGACCAGTACAACTTCCTTCGCCTTCTATCCGGTCCTCCGCGTAGTCTTCAAGCGGCAGCATGGCGAGGAGCAACAGCAGTTCTCTGTCACTCAAGATGCTCGCAGGGAGAATCTGGCGAAGAAGGCCCTTCAGCGCCCAGAGATCGGTCGGTTGCACGCGATCACGAGCACGATACCTGGAGTCAATCTTCATAAATGATGGTGAAAGTGACCGGACAGAAGAAGAGGGGTCGCATTTTATGAGGCACTGCATGACCTTGTGGTGCAGCCGCAAGAGGTACTGCGGGTCGCGCAGGAGCGACTCAGCAGTGGCGTCCAGTCCGGTCATATCTTCTAAAACTGTTACTCCTCTCCACGTTTTCCGGCGTTGCCCTACGAAAACCCTCAGAGAGAGAGAGTGAGATAAGACATGGGAAAAAGGGGGTAATGAGATGCGCAGGTGCCCTCTCGAATCGCAACAAAAAGGAAGTCTGTTGTCTTTTTTTTTTTTTTTTNCTTTTTGTCGTTTTTTTTTCGGTCTTGCTGATGAATGTTTGCTTCTTTTAATGTCTCGCCGCCTCTGCCGCTTCAGACTTCCTCCTCGGCCGCGACCACTCCAACACTTGCGCGAATATAAATATATGTATATATAAATATTTATATATACATATATATTTCTTGAGACTCTTACTCTACACTCTACTCAAACATTCTTATTGTTTTGCCAACTATGAACGATTCACCTCTTGGTTGAGCCGTTTTATATGTACCGTCATCGCGGTATGATGTTCCTCAGCCGCACGTCGGTTAACTTTTTTTCTGATATCGTTATATGGGTACGATTCAAGTCTTCGTTAAGGCTTTGTATCGATGTTTCCATCGCTCTTACTTGTTGCTGCACTGCACGCAGCCGAGACTCCTCCAACGCAATTGCCGCATCCAGACGCAGCCGCTCACGTTCATTCGACTCTGCGAAGAGAAGCAGCGAGCGGCGGAAAACGTCTGGCTCACGTGACGCTGCTGCGATAGAGAAGAGCCGCGCATCAATGTCCATCACCGCCTCTTCCGCAGCCCGCACGTAAAGTTGACTTTGTCGCACAAAGTCCTCGTTATCCTCTATCTCGGTAGTGGCATCAGTGCAAAGACGCCGCAGTTCCCCTAGTTCCCGCCTCGTCGCAAGGTGTTCAACCTCGGCCTCCTCAATGGCACGCTGCTGAACCTCTAGAGCAGCACGCAGTGACTCGTGGAGCGGCTCAGGCTCCGCAGTCTCCGCCTCAAGTGGGGAATCCTTCGCAAGCCGCTGCAGCTCCGAGAGCCGTAAACTTGCCTCCGTCAGCTCCTGCACGTTGTGCGGGGACTCGGTCAACGGCGGAGCCCGGCTGCTCGATAGCGCGTCCACTGGAGAGCGTGGAATGAACTCCGCCAGAGTGTCACCGTGCTGCACCTGGAGAGCTTTCCAGTCAGCAACGTTTTTTTCATCGCGGAGCGCCGTTACCAACGCACAGCGGCACGCTTCTTTCAACACCCGCAAATGCGGCTGTGTGTCAGAGTTATTGCTGCGATAGTAGCGGAAGCACGATCGCAGCACACGTATGACATTGTCGGGGGTGATGCGTTTCGCCAGCGCCTCAGCGGTGCGTTGGAGCACATCGTGACTCACGCCGAAGTGCATACCTACGTCTAGTACTGAAAGCAACTGGGGAACCTTTGCCGTTCCTTTGTAGTTCCAAAGAGCTTCGAGTAACTTTTTGTCGCGAGTAACAAAGCTCTGCAGCACAGCATCCACGGCAACGTACGCAGCGCGGCAGAGGACAATCCGCTCGCATGAAGGGTCATGCTGGAAGAAGTCATCAAAAAAGGGGCACGTCTTGACGAGTACGTCGAACCCAACGTGGATCTCGCGGCCCTCAACGACAAAAGCAACTGTGCGTCCCATTGATGACATTATTTATAGGAAACACGCAGCGCTATTGCACCGGTCTACCAACTCTTATCCTTCCTTATTTTGTTTATCAAGTACGTAGAAAAACAAAAAAGGGGGGAAAAAAAGACTCGACGCAACAAGCACAGATGCATGAAGTAAACGCGCCAAAAGAGAGCAGAGAGATTTAGAGGAACCTTCACCCATATACTATCATCCAATTTTCTCCTACGCCACTTTATCATGCTTGGCAGTGCGACGAATCGCAGATGTCACCGCCTGGTTCTTTGGCAACAGCGGGTATACTGTGCCAGCAGCCAGCGCCGCCATCATTGCCCCCCACTCCAAGCCACTGAAATGACGGTAGTGACCAAAGTACACAACAGAAAGCACAAAGGTACCCAATTTGCGCAGCGTCAGCGTCAGAATCAGAGTAAAGGCAGACGTCTTGTCGTTCAGCACGTATACCCCAGCCACACAGACGTACTGTGTTACAGTATTAAGGAAAAAGTTTGTGTAGCTCTCAGGAGAAATGGATGCGAATTCTCTAAGCAGACGAAACGGCTGCAAGAAGAACAATGGTATAGCCAAAAGGTGAGAAAAAAAGAGTGCCTCCGCCCACATCGGTGGCGGCGATACTGTTGCTGCTCTCGCTGTTGCTGATGATGATGATGACATGGTCAACTTCTCTTTTTTTTGCTCTGCCTCCTCGTGGTGTCGTGCCACCTCATACATATGCTCCTGAAAAATGCCAAGACCAGTTGAGAAGGCAGTACTAAGAGCAAGAACTACTACTCCGCAGGCCCACCAGAAGTATTCATCAGGCGTTGACTGTCCCTTTGCAGCGTCAATATCTTGCAACTTCCATGACTTTTCCACCGTGAGGACGACAAGACCCCCTGATAATGTTACAGCGCAGAGCACCTGTAGGGCTGTGTAGCGCTTCTCCAAGAAGAAATATCCAGCCAGCATGTTCAAGAGAAGTGACGATGAGCGGAACGTAGCGTGGAGGGGTACAGAAATGTACAAGCCAAAAACCAAGTTGCTGCTCACTGACATGACCCACGCGGAGACAGCAAGCAGCACTTTGTGCGACATCAGCAACCGCATAGGCCGCAGCCGAGGAGGCCGCCAGCCTCGCCCATGTGGCGCAGCAGTGAAAACGCACACAAGCGGCAAGGAAAGAAGTGCAACGACCACATATTGCGCAAAAGTAAGAGCATAGAAGATGTTAGAGCTTTTCACCGCGATCAGCTCTAACAGAAACACATTTGCTTGACAACCGCAAAAGACACCACACAGTGCCAAAGCAGAATCGGCCATGACTTCAATTCCCTCCCCCTCCCCACAGACGCGCGCTGGCGAAAGACGAATAAAGTGGCAAAGGTGCAAAATATGGAGGAGAAAAGGGAAAAATAGAAAGAGACAGAGAGAAAGAGACAAAAAAAAATCTCGATTTTGAGATGTGCCAGCAATATATACACGACGGAAAACCAGAACGTCATATGGGGAGAGGGATTTCTACCGTAAGCACAAGAAAGAAGAACGTACAGACGGAGGACATGCAGGAGAAGAGGTACAAAGTCTTCTTTCTTTGAGTGTGTCTGTACTTAGGTGTTCACTGCTGCTTTTGTTGTTATGGCTGTTCTCAATCAGTGTCTACAACCCAGTGGTGTGGTTACTAGGAAATAAGACTGTTTTCCTACTATGAGTTTCGCCGCCGCGTCTTGTCAATGATCTGGTTTGGGGCCTCTGCCATAGCCGAGTTGGCACGCAGGAGCGCTGACCTCGCCGCCACGCCACGGGTGTTGCGAGGTGAAAGCAACTGACGTCGACGGCAGCCGTTTCGGTGTTGACTAGAGCTGCCGTTAGAATCGAGACGCGGCCTTGCAGTTTCGTGTGAAATTGAAGAACCCGCATAGAGCCGCGGTGGAGAAGACCCTTCGTGGCGTAACCGCTGTGTGCGGTTGTATTGGGTCAAATGGTGCAAAGATGTCCCACGAACAAACTGCGCGAGATCAATGCGCTGCAGTGCCACTTTGCGCAGGAGTTCTGGGTTGCGGTGCATTACCTTCAGCTTGACGAGGTCGCTGTGGCGATTATATATCGTCGCCTCCGACGCAATGTGCTGCCGGCGCCGCTCCGAAAGCCCGAGACGGCGCGAGGTCTCGTCGGCGGTGCGCTGCTTGGCGGCTAGCTGGCGGTGCAGACCCACCAACACTGCGTCCCGCTCCTGCACTTCATGCAGTCGGTCCTTGAATTTGTCTCTGTTTGCTTCCTGTGTACGAATTTCCCCCATCGCCTTTTCGAGCTTAGCCGTCAGATCGACAACCTCGCGCTGTGCGCTGCGATGCTTCTCGTCCATTTTTTCCCATTCTGTCTGTGCTTCACGGAGCTGCCTCTCGAAGATGTGTTGTTTGGCATTATGCTCCTCAATGTAGGTATACAGGTGGGCAATCTGTTGTTCCATTTTTTCCCGCTCGTCCCTGTAGTCCTGGTCAAGGGAAACCAGGCTGTTGTACTCGTCCTCACGGTTCTGGAGCCGCTCATTTAGAAGGCGGTTTTCGTTCTCCAAGTCTTCCAGGCGATAGTCTCGCTCCTTGATGCGCAGCAGCTCTTCATCCAGCTGCCGTTTGAGGGTGCGGACCTGACTACGCAGCTGCACGTTCTCGTGGCCCTGATGCAGAGATGCGTTGCCTGAGCCACTCGCATCGTCATTGCTGTACCCTATCGACATAAGCCGCGCTTTTTGCTGTGGAGTTAGAAGCAACCAGATGGTTCGGAATGCCTCGTCCTTCTTACGCATCTCCTCCAGCAGCGTTCCGTGCTGCTTATTGCTGCGATCAAGCTCCTGCTCCGTACTAGTAAGACGACATTGAAGCACGTCAAACAGATTCCGCTGTTCTTCAAAGGCAGATCTCAGTTGTTCGTACTCCTCATCTCGCTCGCTAGACGCCTTGAACCACGCTACAGTCTCCTCGCGAATTGCGCGTTCCGCGTATTCACGCAGGAGTCTCAGGTTGAGTTCCTCAAGTCTGTTTCTAAGCTCCCTACTTTCAATAGTCACTTCATCCGTCTTGCACCGCATCTCTTCACAGCTTTTTTCACTCTGCACAAGCTGTCTCCGTGCCTCCAGTAACTCAAGTGTGATTCGCTGCTGTTCACCTCTCATCACCTCCATTGTTTTTGCCATAATCTGCCTTTGCTGACACATACCGTCGAATTGCTCCTGCATTGAGAAAAAAGTGTCTGTCACAGTACGGAGCAGCTCGCTTGTTCCAAGTTGTGGGGCAGCCTCTTCCAGTGCCCGCTGTGCCTCCTCCCGTTCCCTTGCTAACTGCTCTAACTCTTCACGTACCTCCGGTGCGAGATCACCGCGTGACTGCAGCGAACTCAACTCTCTTTCACGCTCCCGGAGGATCTCCTGAAAGAGGCCGCACTGTCGCTCCAACGCGCGAACATGATCACGCAGGCGCGACTTTTCACTACTATTGTCTGGAGGCGCGCAGGTCAAAGAAACAGCGTCGTCGGGACTGGCCCCTATTTTCACATGATTTGCATTTCCTGTACCGCAATTTTCCTCTCGCTGCACCAGGACAGAGCGCTGTTTTTCAATGTTGACTTCCTCCTGAAGGGTGCACACGCGATCACGCAGTATTTCTATTTCCCTTGTCAGGTGGGAATAGACCTCTTCAAAGCTGCAGGCACCGCTCATGAACAAATCTCTCGGTTGCCCTTTCGCTTTCCTCACAATGCATTTCTTTGCCGTAGCGGCAAAATCAAGTGAACTCTTCGTCTCAGCGTAGTTCTTCTTCTCGAGTGACACAGTCGCAATAAGAAGAAGGTAGCATCCAGCGAGACTTGAAGCGAGGTATAATGTAAGGACGGACTCTCTCACAGGCAGCACGTTCGCGTCTTCTGCCGTAGCCTTGATGACGGCATGCAGGACCGAGAGGGACTTGTTAATAGCAATTGCCTCCTCTAACTCATCCCCCGCAACTCCCGTCTTCTTCACACGCTCAGAGCCAGCGAGATCACCCAGCGTCAACCGGCTTGTTTGCACAGGGATCCCCCCGGCCAGCTTTGTCACGTGAAGAGAGAGGAGCACGTGGGAGCGAGAACTACGCGCATTTAATGCATGTGAACCTACAAATCGCTTTCGTTGCGCCTCAGCTATCTTTGCCTTCATGTCCTCCGCACCCCGCACTAAGTAACGTGGCTCACGAACATATGCACTTTTTGGCTTTTGTAGGAGCACCCCGTGTTCAGATCTACCGCCACCTAGTAGGTTATAGGCGTTGTTATTGTGAATCTGTATATACGACACCTCTACAATATCGTTCCCAGCATCCAGATTCTCAAACAGTGTGCTGACAAACGCGGGAATGAGAGTATTTATAGTATGTGTTTTACCGCTCCCTGTCTGACCATAACACAAAACACATGCATTAAAACCAGCCAGTAGCTGTTCAGTAATGCATGGAACTATCGAGTCGCATATTTGGGCGTCCGTGACTGAGGGACTGATAATATCACCGAACTCGTACACGCGCTGCATCTCCTTAGCGCCATCAGCCGTTGGAGACGTGACGGTCAATATCTTTCCACCGTTGTTTCCACTGGCACCAGCTGATCCCACTCTTGGGGATCGCGGTGTCCGCTGCATACCATTACGGTTCAGGGGTAAACCTATTGCTGCCGTGCTGGAGTGCATAGGGCAGCTGCTGTTTGGCGCCGCACATTGGTCGTCGAGTCGGGTGGCACTATTGCTATTAGTCTCCTCATCAACGTTTTTGACAGTGCGGGCGGTACTGTTCTGAAGCGAACTCTCGCGTCGACGACCTGTGCGGGGAGATGCCAGAGTACCTGGCGCGATGGAAAATTGTATGAGATCGTTGCTTTCATTATTTTGTGGAGGTGGTTTTAACCGAACGGCAACATGCACAAAGTCTTGGCTACCGTGTGCTGCTCGTGGGGTTCGTTCGGTCCTAATGCGACCACGCACAGATGGAAGACCACACTTCTCCCCCCTGCAACTACTAGGAGCAGCTGCCGACGAGGCGGCAGTGATTTGAGGCAGGTCTAATGGAATGTGAGAAAAAGAACTCGATGACATCTTGCTTTACCTGTCAACAGAAACCTCCTAAAAGAGTAGAGAAGTGGCTACGGCTGATACACGTACCTGATTTTTTTAAAAGTGTCCTTCGGTGTGCGTGTGTAATTCTGAGCTCCTTCCTCTTCCCCTCTAGGCGTGTACAACGTGGTTTGGGAAGGTAGCGGCGTACCCCTCCGCTTCACTTCCTGGGTGACCAGCCTTGCGTTTCCTTCCGACACTCTGTGGAGCACGCCACACTATTTCTTGGGATTTCTATGCGAAGACGAAGAGCTGATTGACAAATAAAAAGGCAAGGAGAAAAGGTGTGTGTAAGTGACTTAATGAGAAAAAGCGAGATCTGTTGCTTTTAGTTGCCCATGAGAGAATAACGTTACACCTAACAGCACTTAGCAGACATCATTTTGATTCTACAACGTCATATGCGGTGAGTCCCGCCATCTCGCACACACCCCGTGGCTCCGACGCAACAAGAGGCGACGGGGTACAGCTGTGTGGCGATAAAGCGCCATGCAGACGCCTATAAAGGAGGAAGACACGATCAGCGGCCGGCATAAGACAACAAAATTCGCCGCGGAAGAGGGAGATATATTGCTCCCAAATAGCAGAAGGAGGGAGGTAGAAAAAGAGGAAAGGTGGAATGAAAGGAGGGGCAGAGATCACTGTCACTTTTTGAGCCTCTTATGACATTACCATATTTTTCATACTCTTGTTTCCCACTGACAACACATCCTCCTGTGACCTCGCAAGAGGGCTGGAAAGTGAAAAATTTTCAAAAAAAAAAATTCCTGCGAATCTGGGATGTCGTTTCGTCACCCCCACTGACGCCCCGTATTGCTCACCACAGTCACCCCGTGACGGGGCGGGTACACTCATTCCGCTCTGCGCCCGAGCAACACGGCACCCACCTGGCCGCACCACACCAGCAGGCCTGCGCTTCGTACGACGCAGACACGACGCTGCAGCCACTGCAGCATCAACAAAAGATAAAAGCAACAAAAGAAGCATACAATATAGAAAATAAATGAGATGAACAATAAAACACAAAATAATGCGTGGGTGTGTGAAACAACGGGACAAACGATAACGGGCACACGGAGCTATCACACAAGTCTTCAAGAAAATAACTTCACATCCACACACACACACACACACACAGAAAATATATATATATATATATATAAAGCATCGTCTACACTCTACCATACGGGCGCTCGTCTCTCAAAAAGAAACACTCCACGCACCCAACCCCACCCCAACTGCTCAATGCACGACCACCACCACCACCACCACCACTTGCATTGCATCTGAGGGGAAGAATGTGTAAACAGACGCAGAGGAAACAGTTTTTCCTCATCTTGATTTGACCACTTTTTTTTAAAAAGTTTTACTATGAAGACATCAACATGCCTATTTTACTTTTCTCGGTACTGTGAAGTACACGTCAACGGAAGACGGGCCATCACCCAGACGCGGAGTGAATACATCCACAGGTGAAAAGTGACCATTTTCGTCGGGTCCCATATCATCCGCGTCAATAGGAGCATCCACAGGGGTCATTTGGTACGGACGCCTCACCAGCTGCCGAGTCTCCTCCTCCTCCTCCACGTACTGTTCAATGACCTTTCCGCCATACGCCTCTGAAACACATCCGAATAGATCAACGGCCTGCATAATCACGTGCAGGACTACTTTCACAATCTCCTGAATAATCCACCACACGACGCAGTAGATCCACACCCACAACGGCAGAAGCTTTTCGTAACTTGCACTACCCCACGCAAGGCCCTCCGTCAGGAGACCATCAGGCCTTGACTCGTGCCAGAACGAAGCCGCCATAGACGACACAAACAGAGAGATAATCGCACCGATCAGAAGCACAAGACCAGGAGCCATCGTGAAGAAGAACCGGCCTCCCGTTCGCGAAGAGAACAGTGTCAAGAGGTCAAAAATAGATATCTTAAGGTACAGCAGCGTCACCACCTTACCCTGCTTCAATTGAGGGACACCCAGTTCATGGAACCACGAATCCGGGTACGACGAATCGCTCCACGCCTCCAGAGCTATCCAGAGCAACAGAAGCGATGAACCACATGCAACAGCTGCTAGAATGATAGCGCCCGCAAACGTATAACGAAGATTCCACTGCTCAGGTAGTGGGACCGGTAAAACACGGTCGTAGCCGATCGTCATCAAGCAACCGTCATTCAGCAGCGTGATAAGCATGAACATCAGCACGGGCAGATGGAAGAACTGGAAGTCAGGATCCTCGCTACCGTAGTCGCGGGGCGTCAGCGCAAAGCACGCAAAAAAGAAGAAGCACACAAGGTGCAAGGATGTGGCGACACGATATGTCAGATAGGAAAGGATTCGCTGGAAGACCTGGCGAGACACGAGCATGGCGTTTACAACAGCAACAAGATCAGGATCCGTCAGCACCATATCAGCTGCGGCACGTGCAGCATCCGTCGCACCCTGCACAGCGATACCTACATCCGCACGTTTCAGAGCAGGA